CGGTAGCCCATGGCAACCCACTGCCACAGGGACTGCAGCCTACGCCGTCGCCGGCGACTCACAGCAGCCCAGCTCCAGGTTGAGCTGTTTCAGCATCTTAGCTGTCGAGGGCAGTGTCACAGGTCCTCATATGCGGGATCCGAACCGGGGCCCTCTGGCGTCCCGCCAGTTCTTAACCATTGCGCCACTCGGCCGGCCCAAAAGGCAAAATTCTTATTTAAAATGTTTGCCAACATTTTGACTGGAGAAAAATTTTCTTGTCTCTTAACCAGATCTGAGATTATCTGGTTACCGGACTAGAGGTTCCAGACGTCCTTTCTAATCTTTTCCTATCCAGAACTTTGAATGGCAAGTTTTGTGGTGGTTTGCTTGACCTGAATATCCCTCCTATGGCCCTAAAAATTATCGCATTTAGACACTCCAAAGTATATTTTCCAGCCCTATATCCCTGAGCCTGGCACAATCCACAGAAGTTGGTCAATTCAACAAACATTATTGAGCACATACTGTGTTCCGAGCATTATTTAAGGACATCATTCCTTCTCATCAGGAATAAAAGCTGTCCAACAACTGGATGAAAGCACAAAGATCCTTGCTTATCTCAGCCCTGGGCAAGGCCAGATCAAGGAGTTTCCATGAGCCATCTCACATAGCTGGCTTTGCAGCCTGGTTACCCTCACCCAGGAAATACCATTCACAGAAACAGCTTACTACCCAGAGACAAAGCCATTTTGGGCACCTGTAGATACCACACAAAAACATAAAAACAATGGCAAAATGAGTTTCTAATTAAGTATTCTTAGCTCACTCCATCAGAGAAGGAGGGAAATCGGGTAATTGGGGGACTGGTGAGAGGGAGAAGGAACCTTTTCACTGAATTCCTATTTGAGTTTTGTACCATTTGGGTTTTACAAGTATTACCTATCCAGGAATAATAACAATAAAGTTTTAATTCCAAAAAGAAATTTTTAGATATGTCTTGAAACTACATTATTATATATGCAGGAGGTACTGTGGTTTGTGATAGTGATTTGGTATGTGATAGTGATTTAAAGCCTACTATAAATAGAATTGGATTATGACGGCAGTTAAAAGCCTGCCCAGGTGTGAATCCACTCTGCCACCTACCAAATGGGTGATGGTGGGCAGACTGTTCTATCCTATACATGAACCTATCCTGTGGGCTATTGTGAGACTGAGCACGCGTGCGTGCGCACACACACACTGCTCACCAATATATATAATACACAAAACAGTGCCGAGCACATAATAAGCAAACAATAAATGTTAGCTATCATTATCACTACTTGGCCATTCTTTTTGAGGTATATTAATGCCAATAAAGTAAAGAAATTAGGGTGTGGTTATGTATGTAATTCTTAGCTAGTGTGAAACCAGTTCAAATCTTTTACCTACTGAAAACCAAACATTTCAACAGATACAAAAAGAAGATAAGCTAAAGAATGGAATCACTAAAAGGACAAAACTGCCCTTCAAGTTGAGGCACATGTCACTGGTGGCACAATACTGTTATCTCAAAAACTGACTGAATTATAGACAACTTTGGAAGCCATGAAACAGACTTCAATCATCCCTTGAAGTCCAACGTTTCTGTCACCACAATTCCGTATCACCTCAGATGAAATGAAAGTCTCCTCTGTTAACTTAAAAAGTCTCCTCTGTTAACTTAAAAAGTCAACAACATCAAAGAAGATTTGTCCCTTTTTTCATCTTCAAAAAATTAGATTTCCTGAAAGGATTGATAAGGAAAACCCCCTCTTAAAAAATATACTGTTTCAGCAAATTCTAAAGGCAATTCTCACAAAGCAAACCACTATAGGAGATCTCAGAAGAAGATGGCTTCCCAGGGGATTTATGGAACACACAACCTATCACCAGCACAAGGCTTGTGGGAATATTTAATGAGCTTGTGTCACCCCCTTCCCGCAGCTGCAGAGGGTCTGTGGGTCTGTGGGACTGTGGGACTGTGCTCGTTAATCCAGGGGCTTAAACCAGGTCTGAATGAATCTGTGGAAAAGAAAGGCAAACGGTTCTATTAAAAATATAGACTGCAAATTGCTGACAAGAATATTGGGCAATTATTAAAATGCAGCAATTACAGATATAATAGAGCCAAGCCAAACAGTGTGATGCCCAAAGGCAAACCACAGCAAGTTTACACCGGATCTTAAAACATCTCCGAGGAAGTCCCAGACAAGTTGAAACTACACACTGCTGCTTCTAACAAAGAGGGAGCTTTTCTTCCTTTCACTTAAAAGTCCCTCCATAATGTAACTTGTTCAAAAAGAAAATAAACTGCACAGAGTTTTTGTCTAATCTTTCCTATGTGGTGACAGGATCCTAAGGCGGAAGAGAATAAAAAGGGGAGCATGTCATTCCCATTCAGTGGAATGCCAGTTTTGGCCAAGACTTGCACACATCAGCGCCTTAACACACAACTTCGGGATCAGTTCCCCTACTGGAAGGATGCTGGATGATCGAAGGCTTCTAAAAAGTTATGGATTTGAATTTGAAGTTAAATGAGGGAAATACAAACTCCTCTTTCTTCTCTGAGGCTATATCACACTCAATTTGCAAAGACCAGGGACTCCCCACCTTGGTTTTCTGACCTCAATGCATCAGCTTGGACTTTATGAACTAAATGCTTCCTGTAGAAATACAAAGAGGGTACTTTGAGATCTTGAAAGAACATTTTGAGGTCTGGTCATTTTGCCCGCTTTTCAAAACAATGTGTTCCATCAAAGGGTACCCAAACTTTTAGTATCCGCAAATAAACAGAAAAAAATTCTGAGAGAGCTTAATGGATTTTAAAATATATAGATAAATAAAAAAGATGAATGTGATACTAATTCTAATTTCAGAGTTTCTCTGTGTCTATTTCTGAGGCCATTAAACTGAGCATGCTGTCCCCATCTTCCCTAGTGATCCAACAGAGTACCCGGTAAAGACCAGGATTAGCTGAAAAACCCCTACCCAAAAGAGTCCTGAAAACCACCATGGGTTAATCCAATGTTCAGACAGGATTGGTTAGGAATTGTATTCCCTGGGTTGACCAGGATGTTTTTTAAAGAGCAAATCTGGCTCTCTCTTGGAAGGAAAACGTGGCAAAATGATGGCTGGCAATAGGCAAAAAGCCAGCAAGAAAAATTACTGAATTCCCCTTAGATGGCTAGCACAACTGGCTATATACATGAGATTATTCAAAATCAGAATTAACTTACAATTAACTTGTCAATTACTTATCAATTTCTCAACTGAAAGAATTAGTATGTGAACAGCTTTTAAAGTTGGAAGAGGTCAACATGATTTCATTGATGAAGAAGAGCCCAATCTCCAAGCCCACAGCGCTTACCCATAATAATATGGCAGGATCAAAACTAGAAACCAGGTCATTCCATAACCAGCACTCTGTCTCCCAGCTCCAGGTCTGTCACCACAAACTAGGAACCATTTTCTCCCCCTCAATGCTCAATCTCTAAAAACAGAACACTTTTGCCAAGAGAAAGAGAAAAGCCTGCCATGGCTACCTTCGGACATTGGGATTTCCATGTTGACACATGCACTCAGCACAAATCACTACTGATCACAAACTCTGACTTGACTTCAGGACGGTGAGTGGCAGCTATAATAAATAAACAATCCTTGGTAATGCTATACAACTCCCAAGTTCTTTGAAAATGCAAAGGGCAAGATGAAGCACAAACCTGTGCACTGCTGTATCTTACCACAAAGGTTGTTCAGCCATAATCAGGAAAATATTCAACAAATGTGAAGATCTTAAAAGACAGGGGTATATCGAGTGGAATAAAAACATTACCATTCCCTAAACGCAAATAGTAAATAACACCTGAGTTTCTGGCACCTTAAATAATGAAATGGTTTTCTAACAGATCATTAAAACATTTCTAGTCTGCCATTTAAGTGAATTTTTTTGGAGAAAAATAAACTATTAAGTCTGCAAATGGTTAAAGAAAAGCTGGTAGATGAATTGTTCTGATGGCTATTCAACATGTTCTTCAGGGAATTTAGAAAAGAGGCAGGATGGATGACATCAATATCTAGCTTGGCAGCCTATAAAAAGGGGTGTACAGAATGTAGAACAGATACTGTTGTTTGTCTGATGACATTTGGATGCCGTTTAAGACCTATAAACAGAGAAAGCAAGGCCACCTTACTGGTCACAACAGCAACGCTCACATCTCTCTACTACACAGAGAAACTGACAATTCCAAATCCCCATTTTCAGACATATTTGACACAAAGAGAGGAAAGGTCCAGGCTTTGGATAAGAAATCTTTGGAATC